AGCAGATAAGCAGACACCCAGACAGAGAATAAACGTCAGTCTCTCTTCTTGATGGCACATAAAACCCCCCAAGTGACTCTTGGCGACATTCTCTTGGATTCAGGAAGGAAAACAACACTTGTCCCTCCTCCACAAGTGATAAAACTTTATTTCTTTCAACTTATACTACCCTTCTAAAGAGGTTACCTCCTTTTCTCCCTCTTAAGACTTATAAATTGATGAGGCAGGCATAATGGCAGCTATTCCCAACACCCCACAGTACCTAATACCCTCTCTTCTCAGAAAGCTGAGTACATGTTTAGTAGTCCTATTTAATTAATAATTTTTCTAGAACAGGGAATATATCTGTTATTTGCATTTCCAATTCTTAATAGAAATCTAGGTAGCTAACAATAATCTCTTAATTAAGAATCAAACATTATTAAGAGTCAAGTATTAGACTGAGGACATAGCTCAGTGGTAAAGTGCTTGGCTAGCACACAAAGGCACTAATAAGAGTCAAATATACTTAATGACAAAGATAAAAATAAATGACTAGCATTTTTCTAAGTTTAGAATAAAATGACTATTCTGTAGCCCATGCTTTGCCATCTAATAAACTGCTGCTACTCACATTTTACCATTTCAGTAATTATATCTCAAACCTAGAAAGTACTGTACCACAAATCTATAACTAATAGCCGGGTGTGGTGGCACATGCTATAATCCCAGCACTTGAGAGGCTGAGAAGGGGATCACCGTGAGTTTGAGGCCAGGCTGGGCTACATGCAAGCCCTGTGTCAAAGACCCAAAACAAAGGGTGGTCATGGTGCTGCACACCTGTGATTGCAGCACTCCGGAATCTGAGGCAGGAGGAGCACTGACATCTCCACGCTGGCATGAGCTACATAGTAAGTCCAAGCCCAGCCTGACATAGTGAGACTCTGGCTCAAACAACAAAACAACAAAATAAAAAACCTCTACAAGTAATCAATGTTACACCCCTTGATATATACATAACTGAATTGAAAGTCTTCTCATTCACTTTTGCATGCACTTGTTCCCATGGCAGTCAGATCCCCAAACAGAAAGTCTTAGAATTCATAAAAACGAACCATAAACCTCTACACTGGACCCATGTCAAGGTCAACATACGTGCAATTACAAGTTTTTGTACATATTATTGGGTGAATATTTATGCAAACTTTTTTGGGGGGATATTGGGGATCAAACACAGGACCTTGCACTTTCGAGGCAGGCACAGTGCCACTGAGCTAAATCGCCAGCCTTATGCAAATAATATTTACCATATGGCACTTACTGAAAAAAGACCTTGCATCAAGAAAACTTCCCCCCAAAAACTCCAAAATAAAATAAAATAAAATAAAAGGAAAACTTCCAATCCTATTTTCCAATTTTAGTCCAATTCTAGGACTAGACAGCATTCTGAGACATTAAAAGAATCAAATATGAGTAAATATCTGTGCAAATTAGTGATCACTGGTCCACATTTTGATTTTTTGTTGTTTGTTTTTTTGCTGGTTTTTTTTTTTTGGTACTGGGGATTGAACTTGGGTCCTTGTGCTTGCACAGCAGGTGGCAAAACCACTGAGCTAAATCCCCTGCCCCACTGGTCCACATTTTGAAAGAAACTAGTTTGGTTTATGGAAAGCAACTAAGTGCCAAGTAAAAAAACCAATCCAAACCAAAACATTCAGCACAATTTTTATTTTTGGCAACTTCAGCTCCTGGCTATGATATTAAATGGCAACAACTGATTGAGCTATAAAAATACTGGTAGATTTGCCAGCCCTTTCTCTCAAGCTAAAACTGTTACTGGTTCACACCATAAGTACCTTGAATTAGATCAGTGATTCCAAAGTGGAAGTCAGAGATAAACCAAATCAAGAGAACTTTTTCCCAAAACGCATCTGCTTCCTCTACATTTCCTCACCACTAAGACTCTAAAGGAAAGTGTACATAATATGATAGATCTGTACATGTCTTTAATAAGTCTTCTAAGGCCGGGGATTTGGCTCAGTGGTTTCACCGCCTGTTGCGCAAGCGCAAGGACTGGAGTTCAATCCCCAGTACCAAAAAAAAAAAACGTCTTCTAGGTTATTTGGAGAGATTTATCTGTCTCCACTTTTATGGAGAATTCTCATATTAGGTACAAACCTTTTTTTATTTTATTTTTTTTGGTACCAGGGATTGAACTCGGGTCCTTGTGCTTGCTCAGCAGGTGGCAAAACCACTGAGCTAAATCCCCGGCCCCCAAACCTTTTCTAAAATATTGTTATCAATAGCAAGCATAAGGAACAGAGCTACAAGAGCTCTGCAGAAATCCACGCAGCTAAAGAGCTGTGTTCAGAGCAGGTGTTAAGCCCCCTTCAGAGATTTCTGTGCCAGCTCCTTCCAGAATCTAAACATTACATTTTAGATAATAACAAATGTTCAGACTATTATCCCGAGAAAAACACAGTTTACTAGCCACACCAAAATGTAAAATGAAGCCAACTGTGGCAGGGCGATCCTAAGAAGCCGCAATGAAATCCCAAAATTCTACTATTCTAGTATTTTAAAAAGTACTATAATACACAGCTGATAACTTGTTTGGAGACTTCTGTTCATATTTTGTCATCTCAACTTTTCATTTTGTAGCACTAGTTTTTCTGTAACAAAATTCAGTCAAGCAGAAACCTTAATCAGGGCCGGGGTTGTAGTTCAGGGGTACCGCACCTGCCTGGCAAGCACAAGGTCCTGAGTTTGATACCCGGCACCAAAAAACAAAAAAAAACCTTAATCATTCTAGAACTTAATAGCTATCTCTCTCTTTTTCCTTTTTTTTTTTCTTTAGAACTTAATAACTATTGTGTCAAAACTGCCTGCTAAAAACAATAAAGTTAAATCAACATTACTTGTCAAAATAGCCTAAGGGTTGGATTAAAAGAAAAAACAATCTTTTAAGATCCATTTTAAAGTGATTATACTTCAATAGCCATTGCTTCAAATTTCTTATAAACAGCTCCAATACTAAAGTGTTTCAGAATGGAAGACTTCTATGACTTATAAGCAACCATCCAATTATTATATGTTAATTTAGACTAGTGTTTCTTTTCTTTCTTTCTTTGGTACCAGGGATAGAACTTGGGACCTTGCATTTGCGAGGCAGGGGGCGGAACCACTGAGCTAAATCCCGGGCCCGGGACTAGTGTTTCTTGAACTACTTGGTACTCTCTAATGTTCAATTTATAACTTTCTACAATGACACCTACTGGACATTCAAAAGCAGCCCCTAGATCTGCAAGACAGTCTGAGTAGGCTGGTTACATAAGAACGAACGAGAAA